ATGTGTTTAAACCTGTTGTTTAAAAAGAAGTAGGCTGTTTCTATTAATTTTCCTTTGGCTGTGTCCAAATATTAAAAGCGACAKTAACACCAGAACAACAACCTAGACACGAGGGGTGTAAGAAAATAATGATAAAGTTAAATATCACAATATTTAATTTCCCAATACTGTATCGATTCTCTAAAGCGTAAAGTGTAGTGATTTTTAATTAAGACTTAAAATATAAACTTTCATGCCAGCGGTTCATTCGTATGCTGTAATTGAGCCTCTGACAACTAGTTTGCAGCAGTCAGCCAGCCATTTGTCTCCTTCACTCCTAAAGAGCTAGCTCAAACGTTAGCACAAAGTGTCGATGGCTGGATGTGAGCAGATTATATTGCTTATAATAGTATAAATCTAAAAGCTGCTACAAATATACTATCAAACTTTTCAAGGGCATATTTGGTCTAACTACGGAAAACATGGGAAAAATAAAAAATATGAAACATAAAAAACACATATAAAACATCCTGAGTTTTTTATATATATTTTTAATTTTTAGGGGAAAAATACTGTATTGCAACATATTGCGATATATCATATTGTGAACCCTGTGTCATTTGTATTTTATCATGTAATTCTTGTAAATACACAGCCCCACTAGACACATTTCCTTTGTTTTACTTGCACAAAATCATTTTCTTACTCTCTATAAGCAAAGACCTTTATTTAAGCTAAATCTTGCAGTTCGAACTCAACTTGCTGTCTGTCTGTCCATGTTAGCTAAAAATCCCCTCCACAGTTCTAGACCTAGTACAAACCAGTTCTGTGTTCATCCTGCCCTGTATGTTTCAGAGATTCTTGAGACAATCCTYAACTTGACTCACTGCAGGACTGGGGTTTGGGGGGTGGGGGTGAGTGTTTCCTAAAGGTTAAAAGACAGATAATTAAAGGCCTAACTCCGATTCAACTGAAGACAGCAAACCAGTTAGGAAGCTGCTCTAACGTTAGCAGGACCTTATATTAGAACTCTGCCCTGCTAACTCAACYCAGCCCTGAAATATTCATGAAGAAAATGTGTTTGTGTGCCCTGAAGTAAATACTATCCACTGAGCGCATGCATCCATGCGTGAGTGCCGATCAAAAAATGATATGCTCAGCGTTTGTTGGACTAGTCAAGTGGTAGATTTTCAACACCAGCCGTGTCTCCTCACCTCCTAAAAATGCTCTTTAATTGGTGTAAATGAAGGACTGACAGAATGAGTGACTGAGCCACACACATTTAAGCTCTGCTGTTGCCGCCAATAAAAGCCGCCAAGCTCACCTAAAGACGTGCCTGTGATCCGGCTGTGATGACAGACTGTGTCATCTTTGTTGGGCTGCATCAGATCACTATGCTACAGCTGCCATGCTCCACACTGCTCTCCCCCAAGTGGACTGGTTCACAACCACCACCCCTCTCCAAGAACATGTATTCATGAAAATCTGTACATATACATGCATACATGCACTCAATCAACCTCACACGAGGGTCCAACACACGCACACACACACACACACACACACCCCGCCTGATATCCCTGCTTACATCAAAGAGAATAAACATTAATGGCAAATAGGTAATCTGTTCCTCTTGTCTGTTTTACATTTCAGGGTAAGATTGACTYTCTCTAGGGAACTTGCCCCTTCTCTGATTGAGGGCAGAAAAAAAAGAGTAAGGAAAAAAAGAGGGTAGCAACAATAAACGGTAAACACATGATAAAGCATAATTCTTATTTCAGGAATCATTTTKCTTTTTACTGATCCATGGGAGATAGAAAAGAAGGTAATAATTTCCCTTTACTTCAACCCACAATGGCCCACTATGGTCCCAATCTTCCTTCCTGGAATATTCTGATGTGGATGTTATTATTCTCATTTCTACTGAATAATATCCCTCTCAGGTCTATCAGTTTTCCCTACTGCTTCCCCCTTTTTTTAGGATTTCCCCACTCAAAACTACTCTTCCTGCACTTTCTCCATTCTCTGCCAACTTCTCCACACATACACACACACCCCTCTCCTCCCCCTGCCTCCAGTCGCTATCTTCAAGCTCCTCTTTCTCATTCTGAAGGTTGTCCCGGGCTGCTGTGGCCAGGTATAGGGTGGCAGCGCCTCATATCCTGTCTGAGCATCAATCATGTGCTTCTGTCCACTCAATCCTCCTCTGATCCATCAGCCAGCCTCGCAGCCAGCTCAGGCAGCCTCATCCACACGCGCTCACAAAGCACTGACAAATCGTGGCACCTGTGCATAGTGCACATCAACCTGCTTTAATTTCACAAYCACACACAAGTGGAGGATATGCACTGTTTGAATTTTTCCAATACAACCATTTCCATACTTTTAAACTTTTGACATTTTTTTTAAATTAACATGTTTGCTACTTTAATAACCATCACAGACACTGATTATTTTTAACAATCAACTAAAAGTAATGATAAATAAATGTCTGCAAATGAAACAGGTCCACATTTRACAGGCAAAAATCACAGCTGCCATCACTTAACTACATAATTTTATTATAAATGCCATCATTTTGCACATTACTACCTCCACCTCATAACAAACCCACCTCATTCCCAACAATACCAGCCCAACCCACCTGCTCCTCGCTTACCACTAAGCCGATTACACAACCCTCCTAATCACAGTGCAGTGTAAGCAAACACCAAAGTCGTCGACTGTAGTTCTAAATCTCCCAAATCCCCTCCACCTTTCATCTRATACAACATCAGCGACACAACTTTCGGCTGATCTTTTAATCACCAGTGGCTCAGGAAGTGACTGCCACCACACCGCAGAAAGCAAAGGAACAATGTTTGYAAACCGTTTGTGTTATTTCTCCCGATAAAAGGTTGCAGCGCTCAGTGTAGCTCTGCATCTTGTTGCTTATTCCAGAGTCCGTGGTCGGAGAGTTGGAAGTGCTGTGTCTTTTCACGCAACAACCAACCACATGTGTCGAAGCATCTCTGTTGCATAATCCATTCATGCTGAAATCTCTGTAATGAAGATATTAAAACAGTTTTTCCTTTGTGATTAAAATGATTTCTGCACTCCCCCGCAGCCATACACAAGTAAACAAAGGGCCTTGCTTGTGCATATATTATGACAACCTTTTCTTCAATTGTACATCTGTGCATGTTTTCATGTGTGTGTGTGTATGTGTGTGTGAGTGTGTGTGTGTGTGTGTGTGAGGGATTTAAAAAACAGAACGGTTTACTGGTTCATTAGCAACAGATTAGTGATGCTAATGACATGGATCACCACACACAGAGATGTTCTCTTTATGTTCCTGAAGAGGATGCAAGGCTCGCTATAGTGGGGTACTATGTGGTGCAGGTGCACACACATCAGTCTTGCATAAATAAATTTGTCCTTTATAAAAAATGAAATATAAAAC